AGGGGGGGACACTACTGCTTCATCAACCATGCGCTCCACAAATACATCCAAGATACCCTCATTTTTTAATACTTGACAAATACCTATAATGTCCCTATCCACTTTAATTTCTACCAAACAAGTACAATAAGGTGGTCTTACATAAATACGAGCAGAAGAAGGATTATAGCCAAAGTCTTTAACATAACCTAGAAATTCAAAATAGGAGAATCTATCTGCATCAACATCAAGTGCAGAAGTAATAACTCCACCTATATAATCCTCCTCCATAAAGGAGTTTAGCTTGTCCATAGAAATTTTTCCTTCAAGGAAGAATCTTACTGTGACTAATTCAAAAGACATTTTAAACCAAACGCAAAGTAGATATATAACTATATCAGACCAATATCTACGAAATCAAACCACATACAACAACAAACTCAGCACTATTACTGTGACGAAGAAAATCCTAGAGCTCAAAACAACATAAACGCGACGAACAACACTAACCTTTAAAAAGCATATGTTCTGTCCAGAATCCAAATCGAAGAAAGATTGTAACAGTGAATGAACCCCTTTCCTTGCAACTCGAACAAATCCAACAACTCGTCAAAACCAAAAATATCAGTAAAATATAACGACAATTTGAGGTTCTAACTAGGTTTAATCAAAGAAACATTCATCTTATCTCTTCAATTTTAGTTGGGAAGATTGAATTTCAGACGGATTTGAGGTTAGGGTTTTTTCGTGGACTTGGGAATTTTTTATGGGGTGGGTAAAATGAACTGATAAGGTAAATAGGTTGGGGTAAATATTAGACTATAAAAGATGTCGTTTTTAAACGTAAAAAATGGTTAAAATAATTAATTATAATCAAACTAAAAATACTCTCTTAAGTCTTCATTTAAATACGTGGCATCACCAGATGGCACGTGTATGCTACACAACATATTATTAATGGGAGATGGCTTACAAGGGTGTACAAAAAATTATCCTAACAAATATAGGATGATATTGAAACACCTGTAAAAGTTGAGCAGAAAACTCATTTATTTGGACAAGTTGAGGGAGCATCTTATCTATTATCCCTTCTTAATTTTCAAAGGTCCACAAATAGTACAGGAGGAGTTAGAAAAAGGAGAAAATTGAAAGAACTGAAACCTTACACTAATTGGTGAAGCTGAAATTGGCAGCAAGCCAGCAATATCAAACCCCAAGAAAAGACTCCGTTCCATAAGAATTAGAATATACTTTGAGCTTTTGACTTTGGTCAAGGAGCAGGGTCAATCACAAAGAAGGCATTTATCATTGAGAACTATGGCTATTGCGTTCAAACCTTCTACCAAGCAATTATAAAACAACATGATTACAAAGGAGAGTAAAGTCTATAATTACTTTAATAGAAGTATTAATTCGTGACATATACGTTACGGGTTTGAATCGCAAAAATAGTTACTAATACTTGCATGGGTAGATTGCATGTATCATATTCTTTGGGGTGTAACATTTTCTGTGTGAATACAAAATGTTTGTACACCAAGGAGATTAATTATAATTCTAGATAATGCTAATGGGGTAATGGTATCTCCTTAACTTTTCGCCAAATTGTAGCGAAAAGGAAAAGGATTGGACACTTTTTGCACTAGAGGGCCACATGGGAATATCATAAAAAAGATTTGCCTATGATGTTCTTTTCATTAAATCCTAGAATATATTCTGGCGTCTAGCATCAATGCATGACACTAAATTATGCCTTTCAATGCATGCTCAACTTTAATTTGAAAGCTTTGGATCCGCCTGTTGTTATAATGAGTTCTTTATTAACTTCCTCTTTGGACCAAAGTAAGAACATGTCTACAAATATATATAATTTGCTACGTTGATTGACATTTAGAATTTCATGAAACCCTTCTAATTTCTTGGAGAATCCTAAGCTTGGCTTCGAGGTGTTGAGAGGAATTGGATTCGATCTCAATGCTTCCTAATCTATGTCTGAACCCTAGACCATTTAACTAACATATTAGTCCAACATATCCCGTGCCTTTTAATAATAATAACAATAATAATAACAATAATAATAATAATAACAACAACAATATATTATTATTATTATTATTATTATTATTATTATTATTATTCCAAATTCACCGGATCACCGATTCAGATTGAGAGAGATATGCTCCATACTCTCCATCAAGAAATTTTAATTCTCAAGATTTAAACTCAACAACAACAACCCAGTGAAATTCCATAAGTGGGGTATGGGGAGGGTAGTGAGTACGCAGACCTTACCCCTACCCCGAGGAAATAGAGAGCGTGTTTCCGAAAGAATCTTAGCTCAAGAAGACGAAAAAAAATAAATTCATCAGTACCATCAACAAAAAAACATAGAAATATTAACAGCGACATAAGAACCCGAAAATAGATGGAAAGTAACAATAACAAGTAAATAAGGCCCTATACTATGGAAAAAAGAAGAATAGTGTGAACACAACATTAACCACTAGCAATCTAAGACGAAACCCTATCAGGCTAGTCTCACACCCGGTACGAAATAGAAATTGCTCAACTACCTCCTAACCTACAACCCTAATGCTCGACCTCCACACCTTCCTATCAAGGGCCATTTTATCGTAAATCTGAAGTCACGCCATGTCCTGCCTGATCACCTCTCCCTAATACTTCTTAGGCCGCCCTCTACCTTTTCTCGTACCCGCCAAAGCCAATCGCTCACACTTCCTTACCGGGGCATTTGAGCTTCTCCTTCGCACGTGCCCGAACCATCTGAGCCTCGCTTACTGCATCTTGTCATCCATAGGAGCCATGCCCACCTTCTCCCGAATAACTTCATCCTAACCTTATACATCCTAGTGTGCCCGCACATCCACCTCAACATCCTCATTTCTGCTACTTTCATCTAGTTCTTAATTGGCCAACACTCTTCCTCATACAACATGGCTAGCCTAACTATCGCTCCGTAAAACTTACCTTTGAGAAACAGTAGCATCAGGACTCCAGATGCTAACATCCATTTCATCCACCCCACCATATACGGTGTGCGCATCCTCGTCGATCTCCTCATCCCCTGGATAACCGACCCTAGGTACTTGAAACTGCCTCTCTTGGGGATGACTGGAGATGACTTGTGTCAAGATTTAAACTCGAGACCTATATTTAAGGACATAACACATTATTCTTCTTTTCTTATAAGAATTAACATAAATAGTTGCTCATTCAATCGATTAAACAAAAAACAACCGATGAATATATATATATATATATATATATATATATATATATAATTGTGCATATTTATGTATACTGATTAGAAAAAATAAATAATAAATCATGTCAGCTAGGCTATGTACATCCAAATGAGAGAGAAAGAAATGGACGAAAAAAGTTATTAAAAAAAAGGAATAAAAAAGAAATACAAAAAAGGAGGAAGCCGAAGAGGCAAAAAGCAACAGGAATGGAAATGGACCAATGAGGAGAAGCAAAGGCAGCATATATATTTAAGATTCAACTTTCTGTTTAAACAGAGGCACAGCCAAACCAACAGCAATAACTGTGTCACACTCCCCATACAAATTATGACAACAACCCATCATTCCCACGCTATGTAACTCGCATCCTATGACCCCCCACCCACCCACCACTCCTAAATGCTCTGTCATTCACTACCAACCATTTGCTTCTAAAACCAAAGTGCTTAATTAAGAGAGCAGGAACAATGGCACTTGCTAATGAGAAATCTGTGTCTGATGGCAAGATTTGGGGTCTTTGTAAACTTCCATTTTGGCATTCAAATAGCAGCTCAGTCGCTGCTTCCTCTTCTTCTGTTGCTTCTTCTTCTTCTTCTTTTAGGCAACAACAACAACAGCATCTCAATGGCATGTCTGTGGATCATCATTCTAATGTTCATGCTTCCCTTAAGGTTTCTTCTGTTGCCAAATCCTTACTTCCAACTCGTCGCAGACTCAGTCTTGATCCACAAAACAAGCTCTATTTTCCATGTATGTTCACCATTTTGGCTCTTTTTATTTTCTTTTTTTTGTTGGTTATTTTGGCTATATATACCCATCTAATTGTTTGTCATGAATTAGACCATATCCACTCTGATATGGCATCTGTTTTATGTTTCCAATTGCATAATTGGTTGATTTCTCATCACAGGTAATTTACTTATTTTGCTACTTTTCTTTTGCTTATTTGTCTTAATTTTGGATTTAACAGAAGGCAGAATATTGTCTCATAGACGCTTGTACTTTTTTGGTTTTGACATTCTGATCCTCCTATTTTAAAAAGTTTCATCCAAACACTTGTAATTGTTCAAACCTATGTTTTAAACCCTTTTGACCTCATGTGTTCTTCAAATGCGTGACATAGATGACATGCCCACGTCAGATTTTCTATAACAGATAATTTATTTTTTATATTATTTAAAAACTCTAATCTGTCTTTTTTCCATTTCACCATTCTCTCCACCTTCCTCCTCCCTTATTCTCCACCATTCACCAGACCTTTACCACCACTTCAACACAGCATACAAGTAATAATGTTTCATAATGAGTTCATCAAACTCTTTGCACTTAGCCACATTATTATGTACCAATTTAAGATTTTAATCAACTAACATATTCTTCATGGAAATTCTACTATTCAGAATCCAGAATGGCAGCCTCAATAACATCAAATGGTCCCGTCGATGACCACTCTTCAACTCCCTTTATTTTTCGAACCCAGCTCTTAAAATTTGCCTCACCACCAATGGCTGTGATCCCTCTTCGACCGCCATTTACCTAAAAAGCTTCTTCACAGCCGCATTCCATCGTAGCACTACCAATCACCCATAAAAATTCTCAATCAGAAATGACTCGCCAAAAAAATCATCACCGAAAACTCCACCCAAAATTATTTGAGATTCCTCTAGCGAAAAACTTACCATAAAAGGATTCTGTTGGCAATCTTCTTTCGCTTTTTCTATTTCTTTTGATTGCAAAAGTTCGTCTTGAGAAGTCGTGGAAGAAAATGAGGGAGGTGGGAAAGAAATTTCTCACTATAAATTCTTCAATCTGGGGCGACGAGGGTGCTACTAGTGGAGAATAGCTATGTTGCAGTGGGTTTTGGGGTTTGGGGGGGAGTGGAGGAGCGGCGGGGAGAGGAGAATGTGAAAGAGAAAGCCCTCTTTCACCTTTTTTTCTAATTTAATTTTTGTCTTTTCTTTTTATCTTTTCTTATTTTAATTATTTCTTGGTTTAAATATTTGCGTGAAATACATGTATTTTGTCCAACTCATCTGTCAAGTTGCCACATAGACATGGTCAACGGTCAGACGAGTTTAAAATATTACTTTTGAACAACTATAAGTGTTTGGATGAAACTTTATGAAATAGAAAGACGGAATGTCAAAACCGAACAAGTATAAATGTCTATAAAGCTATTCTGCCTTAACAGAAAGAAAATTTATGCATTACTTTATCTTTACTGAAATAGAAGGTTGATTGCGATTCTGAGAATGATGTCGATATGCAATTTATAGAATATATTTAGCTGCTTCATTAAGAGTCTACTTATGTTTATTAATTTACTGGCCTAATATTAACTACTGCCTCCGTCCCAAATTTATGTGACGGCGTTTCTAGATGCGGAGTCATGATTTGAACTTTATGGATCTTGGACAGTGAACTCAAGTGTTAATAACTGAGTTTTAATTTTAATTTTTGTATAATATTTAGTGGATTTATTAACACATATGTTAACTAGTTCTGTCCTGGACGTTTCACTGGGCGCGGAATTTACGAAGGAAAAAAAATCTTTTGAAACTTTAGGTCTAAAACCTGTGTTATACATTTTTGTGGCTATAAATCATTTCCTTGAGAGAAGTTTAAATCTAAATTATTTCAAAATACAGAAATATGTCATTCTTTTCGAGACAAACAAAAAAAAAGTGTGTCACAAAAATGAGACAAAGGGAGTATATCTAATTCTGTTTTGTACTATGTTTTGGATGAGACTTGACTATTTAGTTGAAGTAATCATTCTTACGCCTTATTTACCAACAAAAAAAAAGAATAGTTCTTATGCCTTAAAGACTGTCTTTCTATATTTGTCTATTTATTTTGTTCTTTTCTGTATCTATTGGATTATACTTAATTCTTTTCTTATCCCTTTTGAAGATGAGCCTGGCAAACAAGTCAAGAGTGCTATTAGAATTAAGAACATTAGCAAGAATCCTGTAGCCTTCAAGGTACATTACACTAGCCTCATTTTCCTGATATTTTCTTGTTTTAGTGGTTCTAACAGTTCCTACTTTATTAATCTGATGTGAAATGTGCTTAGCACCTAATATTCATTATGTCAATTTGCGATCTCCATAATTAGTGCAACAAATCACTTTAGTCCCCCACTAGGCCAACTTTTCTGAGTTGGGTGATGATAGTACTCATGCTTTAAAGACAATCTGCTTAAAGGTTGGCCTTTTTTGTTAATATAATAGAAATTCTGGCCATTAAATACTAAAATGATGATGAATTCTGGTTAGTGGGTAACGTATCACTATGGAAGGTGAAACTGGATCTTTCAAAGAGAGAATTTGTCATATTTGTCCTTTGCAAGTTATACTATTTCTTGGCATGCATCTTCTGCATGTCGTTCATAATCAGGCCAAAGCAATTTTTTGATCAATGACCATAAGTCTTAACACTAACAGCCAATTAATCATGTGTAAGTTAAAAATAAAGTTGACTTTAACAAGCATCGTTCTGTGTATTAATTGGATGTGATTAAACAATACCAATCGTGTTTGAATTAATCAATATAAGATAGATGCTTTATTACAGACATTTGCTCCTTCTTTTGGTTACGCAGTAACTGACATGCATACTCCTTTTTCTACGAAGAAATCTTTTTGTATCGTTATCAGGTTAATATTGCTATTCACAAATATTTCTTAATTTTACTTCATTGTGCTATCTCAGTTTCAAACAACTGGGCCGAAAAGTTGTTATATGCGGCCGCCAGGAGGTACTCTTGCTCCTGATGAAAGCCTTATTGCAACTGGTAACATCTACTCTTGGCCTTTTTTTGTCCTTCTGTATAATGTTAATGAAAATAGTTGCTTATTGCTGTTTTATTGTGCTAATATATCACCTAATTAACAGTTTTCAAATTCGTTGAGCCACCTGATAATAACGAGAAACAAGTTGGAAAGAAGAGCAGGGTCAAGTTCAAGGTTATGAGCTTAAAAGTAAAAGAGGACGTGGATTATGTGCCAGAGCTGGTAAGTGCTAAATGATGGTTTGTCCCTCCCATGCATTGACAAATATATCCTCTCATGAAAGTGAATAACCAGCTCAAAATCAATCTCAGCCTTTGAAAACTTTATTTCATTCTTCCCAGTAATTCAATTATTCTTCTCGAGTTCTTAGTCTGTAATTGTTGGTACAGAGAAGTGAATATCCTACATATTTGACCTATTATCCCTAAAATATAAGAAAAAGGAAGAGAAATCAACCACGTGCAGATGGAAATGTTGAATCTAATGAAACCAAAAAGGCCTTAAATCCCTAAGTCCCTGAGATCAAAAAAATTTCAGGGTCACCCTTTTTTTCTTTTAGATGGAAAATGAATATGAGAACTTTTTCAGGGTCATGCTAGAAGTGGCATATTTCTTCTTATGCTGTGATTAGTTTCCTTTAAAGTTTAGTTAGAATAAGATCAAATCATTGATCATGTTTTCGTCCTAATACTCCTCTTTTTAAGGTGTCACCATTTAACACGTGTCCTTTCTCGTTTCTTTTCCTTTTCGTTTGAAGGTTGTAATAATGCTATAGCTAAAGTTGTTGCACCACTATGACCATGCAATATATATTAGGAAAGTAAACCATCCACCACTAATGAAGAGAATTATACTGAAGGTTTTAGGGCATTTGTCTACCATGATATGAAACTCTGATCCCAAAAGAAACATATTTTCCTTCTTATTTTAGAAAATATATGTAGAAAAGACTGAAATGGTCCTGACACTGTCCTCATTTCTGAATGCTGTTTCTGCTCTTTTAAAAATCTCTCATTATGAGATAGGGAGGATTTGCCGTGGTCTCCTTCATGTTCAAATGATATATGTCCTCTTTAGATCAGCTTCGGAAATCAACTCAGTATAGGGTACTAATTTGTTTAATCATTGGATCATATGATCCGTATCAACATATGTTGCTATGGATTCAAAAGTGTCATGTTTGCTGCAGTGGATAGATATCCTCTGATAGAGATGAGAGCACTAATATTAAGTTGTTTGTGAACGTCTTTGTCCAGCAAATCTGTAAAGCATCACATCAAGTTGCGTCAAATGTGAAATTCCATCTCCAACAATTTATTTTAATTTCTTCTCGTTCTGCAATCTTTGCCACAAGTTTGCCACAAGTTTTATATCCTAATCATAGGCGCCGATGATTTCCAGTTAGAAGAAATACAACAACATACGATACTCCCACATAGTATGGTCTGGGGAGGGTAGTGTGTACGCAGACCTTACCCCTACCTCGTGGAGATAGAGAGGCTGTTTCTAATAAACCCCCGGCCAGTTAGAAGAAATAATGTGAAAAATAATCAATCCTTAAAGGGAATTCAGCTCTTGTTGCCAGTAGTTTATACTTTTTTCTAGTGTATTTGAAACATTTAACTCATGTACTTTCAAGTTTCAACTGTACTTTTGATTCTGGAATCACAAGTATTGTTGATGTTCTTTTGCATTTTACAATTTTCTCCATGATGGTTAAAAGCTTGACTGTAATTCCTTTAGTCGCGGGCTAGACATTCTTCTAGATATCTTTACTTAAACCGTTCTCAAAATACAAGAATAGTGGAGCTAGTAGTGACACTCACTATTTATATACTATCATATTGTTCACCGGACTTGACAAATAATGGCACTTCCTTCTCCATAAAACTCTATTCATAAATGAAATTCCTTTCAATTTTATTGATATTGCTCGATTTATTGTGTTTTAAGGACCGACTCATGTTAAAAGAATAATGGATTGTATCCATCTTTTATTATCAATTTGGCATTTTGTGTCCAACATCTTCTATTTTTGAGTCTAGGCTATTAAAGTTTTTCCTTTTTATTGTTTTATGAATTCTACAGGCGAACTAAATCTAAGTGATAATGCAAGCAATTATTGACTTTGCACTACTAAGAAAAGAAAAGCGAAGAATAATTAAGTAGATGTCTGCAAGTTGTTTTCCTCTTCTTTTTTTAATTTAATTTACTTCTATTTCCTTTTGTGCACCCCTTTCGTCTAACTCGTTTAAAAAGTGGACCTTTTGACACTTGAAATGCTTGATTTCATGCTAACAATGATTTTAATCAGTTTGATGAACGGAAGGATGACGTGGCAGTTGAACAAGTACTGGGTGTTGTTTTCCTTGATGCTGAACGCCCTTGTCCTGTAAGTAGGTTTTCTCCACCAATTTTGCTAATTAGTTGAATCAGATTTTTTGTGTAGTCTGTTTCTAGTAATGTAATTGTCTAAAGGTTTATGTGGAAATGGCTCTAAGGATTTCGTGGCTCATTTTCCTTAGGCACTCGAGAAACTTAACCGCCAGTTAGCTGAAGCTGAGGCTGAGGTCGAGGCACGCAAAAGGCCTCCAGAAGATACAGGTCCAAAGATTGTTGGAGAAGGTCTTGTTATAGACGAATGGGTAAGTTTTCTTGACGCTAGTACGATCCTATGTTGAATGCTCGGTTTTTACATTACAAATCAACTGCATTTCCTTTTTAAAAAAAAAATCTACTGCATTTAGAATCTTCTTTCTGATGCTCTTTGATTGCTCATAAAATTGTATAACGGGCCTCGTCCCAAACCACTAAGGAAATGGTGAGATAGCTCAGACAACCTTTTTTTTTCCCTCGAGTTAGCTCATAAATATTGTGCCAGTACATAACTGGAGCCTCAAGTAATAATTACAAAGTAAAGAGNTTTGTCTTGCTTATAATAATATAATAAACCAGAAGTACTTAACTTTCATTGAAGTTGAAGAAGAGAAAGCAATGATAGAACAAACACTCTGAAGATGCCTTTTAGTATAAAGTAAGTGCCTTTTCAGGGTGTCTAGCTTTGCAAAATTCAACTTTTGAAGAGATGTGGCGAACAGATAATTTGGGACCCTGTGGTGATTATTTGAAATTATTAGGTGGGCGTTTACATAAGAATCGCAAAATTCCAAAATAGGTGGAAAAATTTTTCAAATGAAAATGGTATTTGAAATTTTAGAGTTGTGTTTGGACATGAATATAATTTTGGATTGTTTTTGAAGTTTTGTGAGTGATTTGAGCGAAAATTCGAAAATTTTCAAAATATATCTTCAAGTGAAAATTAAAAATTTTATGAATAAACGTTAATGTCGAAAAAAAAATGAAATTATTTAAAAAAAAATAAATTCTTAAGTTCATTAGATTATTGATCTAGAGAGCTGGAAAGCAGGTAGGTATATACGCTTAAAGGCAATTTTGGTATTAAAAACAAGAATATTACTATTAACTAAGTACAAGTTGCTTAATATTAAATGATTGATGAATTGGCACTGATGGAGTTTAGATTTAGATGAAGATATGGCGGAATTATTTAAACCATCTTGAACTGATATAATAATTTCTCAAATCTTTTATACTTTATATTAAATTGAGATTTCACTATCATAACCAAGTAGTACAATGTTCTAAACAACACAAGAAAGAGAGATCTTTTTCTTCTATGTTGCGATAGTATAAGTGATTCTATTTTATCTTAAGTTTGTTTTTTAAGGACTTCTTGAAGTGGACATGTGACCTTGCACATAGTGGATCGGATATATATGATATTGGGGGCTTTTTGGTTGATATGAACAAAGCCGTTGAAACATTACTCTTTAAATGTTCATGAAAAGGACTGTAAGCACTTTACGATTGATAAAAGTGCAAAGGCAAAGAGGATTAAGAAAAACACTAGAAGGTTCACTCACAAAAGCAACAACACCTCATTTGTTTTGTCAAAGTGGACCTAAAACAAATACAGTAACAAAAAAAATCAATATTCGAATCAGAATCGAATTCTTTTTTACTGTCAAGTTAATATTTTATGATTAGTTATCGACTTCCGAGAAAAGAGTAGAATAATATGACCAAACTTAGTGTAGTCATGTCTTAAACACAATCCTAACGTCCGATAATTTCCTTTTTTCTTATTCCTACCTTTGGGACATGCGATGGTGATTACACGAGGTATCACTTTAAATAAGGTAATTCCCACAATATTTAATTTGTATTAGAATATACGGCATTCTACGTTCTAGTCTCTATTATTTCACATGCCGTATTCGAATTTATTCATTATCCATTAGCAAATTATTTTTCACATGCCACTTTGGCTCAGATAATACAACAGTAACCTAAATCTAATTTGGAAAACGAGAGAGAAGAAAAGTACTAAATCCCAGACTCCAAATGTTGAGTTTCAATTTTGTCCATTTAAGGCTATAGGTCGTTCCATACTTTAGTTACATATACAAATGAAGCACAAGGATTATGAGCAGCTTACAGAAAGAGGGAAAAAAAATAGAAATGGTGTTTTTCTTTTTCTTTTTTCCTTTTATTTAGACACATATAAGTGTGCTAGCGTACCAGCTGAATTAGATAAGCGATCACCGCAGCTTTTCGAGTCGAACAATTATTCATTATCGTTTTCTTTTTTCATCGTTGCTCATGCAGTTTAACTTAGGTTGAATATACAAGTGACATATCAATCTCACTTGTAGGTACAAAAAAGGGTAGTACTGATAAAATAGTTTCTTTTTTAATTTATTCCAAAAACTATTACCTATTTAAAAATAATTTAACCAATTTTTTAAATTTACTTTAGGCATATTTTAGATCATATTTTATATTCCTTAAACCCAGGGATGTACATAGGTCGGGTTGGTTCGGATTTTCTAATTACCAAACCAAACCAATTATATCGAGTTATTAAATCTAAATACCAAACCAAACACATAAAAGTCGGGTTTTTTAATTTCGAATTTTTCGGATTTTCGGGTTTTTTCGGTTTTGTTTTTCATAAAGTCTTCATAGCACAAAACATAAAATTTGTGCTCCAAATATTTCTCTAATCCTTGTAAGACAGAACTATATAAGTTGTTTTTCAATAAAATAACATAAATATGAGATAAGTCATGGCCTTACACTAAAATATTCAACAATAAAGACAATAATATCGCATAAAATAAATATTATTAATAAGCCATAATAAAAACAAGCATATTTTAAAATTACGACTAATAAGTACTATTATTTGCATGACTAACCACTAAAAGAAAAATAAGTTATACATTTTATCTAAACCATGGAAAAACTAAAAAATAGATATCCAACACTATTTTCATTCATAGTACAATTGAATTGAATGTCTTTTATTAGCATTAATATCGATTTGATTTTGGTTTAGGATTTATTTGAGGTACTTAACATTTATGGACTATAAAACTTATTGGAGCATCCAAAAATTATAAGCCCAAACTTGAAATAATACGTTAAAAGATAAAATTATGAAAAAGCTTAAGAAATATTTATAAACTATATTACAATAAATATTTTATGCATTAAATATATTTAAAACTTCTATACATATAATGTCGTGTTGGTTCGATTTCGGTTTGACTTTTTATAGTTAAATTAAACCAAACCAAATATGGTTAGGTTTTTTTTTCCAACACCAAACCAAATCAAACCAAAACATAGTCGAGTTTTTTTTCTCGGTTTGACTCGGATTATTGGGTTGGTGCGATTTGTCGGTTTCATTTGTATACTCCTACTTAAACCTATAGGCAGGGGCGAATCTACGTGCAACCAAAGGTGGTCAACTGACCACCCTTCGCCGGAAAATTATATTTCGTATAAGGTAAAATATTACTTGTTATTGATTAAAAATAGACTTTGAACACCCTTACATAGCCCACTGGCAAAGGTTTGAACACCCTTGTTGAATTTTCTGGCTTCGTCACTGTCTATAGGTCGAGTAAAGTTATTTTTGTATGACCTAGAGCTAGTTTACAAGTTCGAGCCGTAAAAACAGTCACTAATGCTAGTCTTAGAGTAAGCTTTCGATGTTACAGCCTTAGGAATTCGATCAGACCTTACATGAATACGACATATTTTATACATTAGTTATCCTTTTCTTTTTTTTTCCTAAACATGCCCCTACTGGCTACTTATCTCCGGACACGAAGAGGCAACTGATATTTACTTGTACTTACGCCTGTAGAACAAAAAGGAGTCAAGTCTAGCACGTGATGGCCCATAGGTGAAGCACCAACTCTATGGAGCCCAATTCGTTTTAGTGGAGGACCATCGATAGTCCCACATCTCCATTCTATTTTGTCTATTAGCATATTCAGGCCCCATCGTCATATAAATAAAGACAAGCTCTTTTACCCAAATACTCTCACCGTTTTAATTTAAATGAACCTAATTTTTTTAATCTATACTAAAAAAATAATTTATTTTTTTATTTAAAAATAATTTATTTTTATACAATAATTTATAACCACATAAAATATATATATCTTATTTTATACCACAAATTTAAAAAACTTTTCTCTTATTTTTAAACATTGTACCCGGTCAAATGGTTCACTAGTTTGTATTATTGGATACAGACAGAAAGATAAAAATATTCACAAAGGTAGGACCCACTACTGTACTGTAGCTGAATGGGAATCGTGAAAGCTGTTTACCATTCATTGGTGACTTTAAGATGAGTAATGTATCTAGCTTGTGGATAAGTTTGACACCTGCCCCTTCTTTCGTTCCTACTAAATGCTACCGAGATATTTGATTTCTCGCGATTCCTTGTACTTTCTCATTTGGGAATTCTCCGCAAAAGTTTTACTTCGTGATTAATTAGGAATAAGTACGATATTTTTCTTTTGCCAAGATCGCAATAATTGAATAATTAGAGCTTCTTCTTTTTTAACGTTATAGCACTGAGATTTTGTACTGATTGAAAAGTTCAATAAGGAGAAATATAGGGACCGTTTGGCCATAAATTTTATCAAAATTTATTTGAGTTTTTTTTGATAAATACATATTTGTTCATAAATTTTATTTATATTTTGGCAAATTTTTAAAACCCAAATCTCAAATCTCAAATCCAGCTCAAGAGCTAGTTTTGACCCAAAATATTACTATTACATATTTTAAAAATTGCCCCAAACTTTTGTATTTTATAAAAGAACCCACAATTTATTATTTTGTAATAATATTGTTTCGTTTTCTCGATCATCTGATAGTGTATTATGCAGTTCACTATAAAAATGATAATTTTGTACCAAATTTATTTATGTTCCGGATTATGGTTTGCGATAATATAATTAATGTTATTGATGAAGGTACTGTTTGGTATTTGTGATAGTATTTAGAACTTGTGAGTATAAGTCATGTTTTATGTTTTTTCAAAAAAAAAATGAAATATATTTTGAAAACTGATGTCCAAATACATTTTCATCTTCAAACTCAACTTCAACCAAATCAGATTTTTCAAAACAAATTTGAAAATCTATAACCAAACACTAGCTAGATATTAGCAAAGAATAAAGCATTTTAGAAGGAACTTCTATCTATTCCCCACGGTGTAGATTGTCTTGTATGCTATCCTTAGTTATATTAATACACTTTACTTGCATCGTATTTAAAAAAAATACATAATCAACCTCTAGTCGTGACTAAATCAACAACCTAAACATCCCAAAACTTACCCTTACTCCACCATCTCCTATTAATCTGTCTCTACGACTTT